ACCAGATAGCATTGTATAAACAAAGTAAGGTTTTTCGTGTTTCGGCTGGTAGGTTTTTTAACATTTCATACACCACACGGTCAGAACCTGGGGCAGAAGTACTGCAGGAGTTTAGAGATGTTCGGAGCTCAGCTAGACTGAAAGCTTGGTTATAAGCCTTGTATCTAGTGGATTTATGTTCTAGTTTCTGCTTTTCTATTCTTGTTCTGTATTTTTGGAAAGTGTCAGTATAGTGGGACGAGCTGGATACCCGTTCAAAGTGTGCACCGAGGAAGTTTGCCTGATCTTCCAAGGTATCACCCTGAGTGTTTACGAGTGGAAGTGTGTGTACTTGTTTTCCTGCTATCCTACCGACCATGTTCCAGACTTTAGCCTCCTGTGTGTATGAAGTGATCCCTGACAAAAACTTCTGCCAGCTTTCTCTTCTGGCCTGCCGACGCGTTCTCCTGCCTTGAGACTTTATTTTCTTAAAGCTCTCAAGGTTTTCCGCTGTCGGCGAGTTGCGCAGCAACCTCCATGCCCTGTTCTGTTCCTTTCGCGCATTACGACACTCTGTGTTCCACCATGGGACGTGTCGCTTGCCGGGCTGTCCAGATGTTTGTGGGATGCATTTGGCTGCCGTGTTAATAAGGAGAGCTGTGAAGTACTGCACAGCTTCATCTGTGCTTAGCGTACATATGTCAGTCCAAGATAAGTGAGCTTTGTTATGAAACTGTTCCCAGTCGGCTTTGTGTATAAGCCATTTGGGAACTCGTGGAGGATATTCGTATGATGTTTGTGTACTCAAAACGACAGGAAAATGGTCGCTTCCGTAGGGATTATTTAGAACTTTCCATTGGAGTAATGGTACAAGTGATGGAGATGCGATGCTGAGATCTATGGAAGAGTAGGTTTTGTTGGCAAGGTTATAATATGTTGCCTCTTTCCTATTCAACAGACAGACGCCGGAGGAAAAAAGGAACTGTTCAATGAGACGACCTCGTGCGTCGCAGCGAGAATCACCCCATAGACTGCTATGAGCATTCAGGTCACCAAGGACCAGATAAGGTTCGGGTAGTTGGTCTATTAAGGACTCGAATTCTCGTTTTCCAAGACGGTGGTGTGGGGGTATGTACAGAGAGCAGATGGTGACAAGCTTGTTGAAAAGAACTGCTCGAACAGCCACTGCCTCTAGTGTTGTTTGCAGTGGTAAATGTGTGCATGCTACTTTTTGATTAACAATAATGGCTACACCGCCGGATGATGCCGCAGCATCATCTCTGTCCTTTCGGAAGAGAACATACCGACGCAAAAAATTCGTGTTTTTAGATTTTAAATGGGTTTCCTGTACACACAGCACTTTCGGTGAATGTTTGCAAAAGAGCTCTTGAACATCATCGAGGTTTCTGAGGAGTCCTCTGACGTTCCAATGTATTATTTGTGTTGCCATATTGGAGGTAACGTAGTGCTGTGTGTAAGGAACAATGGGTGTGTCTGCTTCTTAAGCTAAGCGTTAAGACTCAAAGAACAGGGCCGTCGCCGGGCCTCGTTATTGGCTTTTTATTTCGTTTGGCGCGCTCCAGGGAGCTACGCCAATCTTTCTGCACCAGGGGTGCCGTGGTGTCCATTGCCTCCTCAGAGGCACTGCATGCCCGCATTTGCGAGCTGATGTTTTGGGCTTGGGACCTCTCCTGGTGAGACGAGGCCTTCATATCGGCCGACCCTGGGGTCTCCTTCACCTCGGGGGGCGAAACCTTCGGTCCTCTTGGGCTAGAGGTCGAAGGAACCTCCTTTGGTGCTGGGATACCCTGGCCGCTGCAAGAGCTTGCAGCGGCCTTGGTTGTCGCCGTGGGGACGAGTGGCAGGGCAGCCTTGGCTGTTCCCGCCGTGGGTGGGGGCATCGGCGACCGCCTGGGCACACTGTGCCTGGCATGGGCAGTTGCCGCAGGCCGTTTTAGTGCTGCCCCCTGTTGCACTACATCGGAAAACGATGGTTTGTTTGTGAAAAGCCCAGATACTTGTTGACGGGCTTCTCAGAAAGTAATGTTTTGTGTGATTTTGATTGTAACAATTTCTTTTTCCTTTTTCCATGTTGGACAGGTTCGGGAGTATGCAGGATGGGCACCATCGCAGTTTGCGCAGTGGGCCCCATCCTCCACCTTACACTCGTCCGTAGCGTGTCCTGTGGTGGCACACTTTCCGCAGGTGAGTTGGCCGCGGCAACTCTGAGAGCCGTGACCAAAACGCTGGCATTTGAAGCAACGTCGTGGGTTGGGAATGTAAGGTCTCACATTCAACTTCAAGTATCCTGTTTCGAGATGTTCAGGCAGGGTACTGGTGCAAAATGTCACAATTATGTGTTTTGTTGGGATTTCCTTCTTATCACGCTTAATTTTGATTCTTTGTACTTGTGTCACCTGCTGGTCCTTCCAGCCCTCGAGGAGCTCACCTTCAGTCAGGTCAAGCAAGTCTTGATCAGATACAACGCCTCGGGAAGTGTTGAGTGAGCGGTGTGGTGTAATTGAGATAGGTATGTTTCCAAACGATTCTAGTTTTGAAAGGTTTTCGTACTGGCTCTGACTTTTTACCTCGAGGAGGAGATCCCCACTGGCCATTCTTGTAGCCTGGTAACCTGGTCCAAGTGTAGTGGTGAGGCATTTGGAAACAACGAAAGGCGAAATAGTTCTGGCGTTCTTTTCAGCGGTTTCACAATGGATTACATGGTAGCGGGGAAAGGTTTCTTTCGGTTTGCTGAAATACTTGCAAAAGTCTTCGGTGCGCCCTCTCTTCGGGAGAGGACGATCATGCAATGGAGGGAGAGAAGAAAAAGCCATAAACTAAATGTGAGTTCGGCAGCCATGCCAGCCGCCCACCATGGAGCCCAACACGGGGACGTGACAAGTCCTAAATATATATGAGGCATGTCAACGTCAGCTGTACACAGCCGCTATAACCAAATGTATTGTGCCCAAGACAGAGCACATACACAAGGTTAACCCTTGCCGCCAGGAAAAATCGGAAGTAAATAGAAGAGAGAAGAAGACAGGATAGATTTAAAGACGAGAAAAGACTAAGATGTAGAGAGAGAGAGAAATAGGAAAAGGCGACTACCGATTTCCCCTGGGTGGGTCAGCCCAGGGGTGCCGTCTACGTGAAGCCGGGGCCAAAGGGGTGTGTTGCCTCTGCCGGGGGGCCTTCAAGGTCCAATCACCCAGCGTCAGCTCAACCCCCAGGATCCCCTTTTCCCCGGGCACGGCAAAGCCACGCACGGCTAGGCGTGGGAGGGAGTAGAAACTCCCCCGTTAGCTCGGGTCCGTGGTGTCGCTACACACCAAACGCCTGCTTTAACAGGCGCCCCTGCGGGAATACACATTTGCCAACAAACAAGAAACTAGTGTATTGATGGGCGCATACATTCCGCACTAGTCTAGTCTACTTATTTCCTAATGTGCCTGTTGGCTTCCAATTCATTCCCGAACCAAAGTATCGCCCGTAAATAACTGCTCCGTGGTGCAATATTGATCAAAATTCACAACTTCCGTGTGACTTCGTTACAGTACTTTATCGAATGCCGGTGACCCCAATATACAACGTAATGCTTCTTCTTAGCAATGAAATGTCACTGCCCTTCCTTTTTTGACCAACCTGCCCACTTCCCCTGTTCATATAACGTTGGTTCAAAGCTCAGACAAAGTACAACGCATGTATAACTTTAAAAAAAAAAAAAAAAACAATGAAGCACTGAGAGGTGGCTACACGAAAAAGCACCCAAAAACTTCGGCAGAATGAAACAGCGGCCAATACTAATTGCAGTCTACATTAGCATGCAAACAATGCGTTGGATGTACCGACGTTTCGGGCAGAATGAACGCCAGTCATTATTTCTCATTAGGACACTTACAGCATATGCTTCGGGTGGTAGTCCATTACAGAGTTGTTGAGGTAGAAGCGCTTGAAGTAATGAAACGATGTGCCCTGCATAAAATGCAACGCAAGATTGAAACAATCAGCTCACGAAGACACTACACCACCGAAGTACTAAAGACAGCATTAGCATAATATAAATTCATGTCACTAATACATTTATTAGTAGGATCAACGATAGAACAACACAAAAGACGCATTCACCAGGTCATTTTTTTTTTTTTTTTATTACAACGCATTCATGCACAATCCGGTTCTACCACTTACAATTACGCTTCTTGGGACAGGCGGTTGAAATTTCTTGCAGAAATCTCGAAGGGTGAACTCGTAGTGCTTGTAGATCGTCCTTTCTTCCTCTGGCGAAAGGAAGTCACCCTGAAATAATTTCAGGCAGTGACGCAACCACGCAAGTGAGCCGTTATTGCTCGACAGGACAAATTTCTGGGGCAATCGTTCAGGAAGTAGTTTCTTGTTTGCGTTACAACGTCAAGGTTCACTTACCGAAGATCGGTTCGCGTTTTGTTGGCGATTGATGAATCTGTCATTGGCGGCTTTCCTGAGTCTTGAGATTTGAGCTTCATCCTTAAAAATCCAACACTTGCCTTGTGTGCTGGTAGAAAACATTTTTTAGCTCGTTTTGACGCTCTGCTTAGCGATAATTGAATTTTATGCAAGAGAATCACATTTAACGCCTGCACAGCCAATCATTTTGCATCTATGTGCATTTCCAGCAGATGCTCCACGGCTTCCATGCTGCATGCATAAACACAACAGCAAGCATGAGCAAACTTGAACAAAATCAACAAAAATCGCCTCGATGGCGATGCAACGTTGCATGTCCGAACATGAAGTTAAGCACGATTACCACCAGAAATTACTTGACGTTTTTATTTTATATATTCACATACGCAATAAAAACGTCTCTGACTTGATTTGCCGCACTCACAAAGTTTTACAGTATGAAACCATGTATCAAATTGTGTGGTCGTTTACAGTCAGCTACAGTGCACTAGAAGGGGCACACTAGCCACAGCAATCCGCCAGCAAAGTCAGTAGTAGATCACCGTTATGGTGGCTAGTAGGGGTACCATATCAGCGTCGGAAGCTTCGTAAGCGTTGTCGCTTGGAAGTTTGTGTTGATCGTTCCAAGGAGAAGAAAAAAAAAAGCGTCGAAGCGTGCATCGCAGCTAGCTAAATATGCCCCAAAGGCTTTGCTCTACTTAGTAAAGGAGTGTCTCCATCGCATTGTCGGCGCATCGCTTGTGGCTTCACCATGAGCGGACCTGATGACGAGGCGCAGTGTTCAAATACACCTCCCAGTGAACCGGATGACCTACAGTGCGCGGATAAACCGCTGAGAGATATTCTGCTGGAGTATGAGGAGAAGTTCAAGTATAGATACACTGAGGAAGATTCGAAATACATGGAGGTTGTGAGCAAGCCACTGCCACCGCCCCCCGTTGTCTATCCTTGGTTTGTGCAGAATAGGAGATCGTTTGACAGAAGGTATGAAATTGCAGCTACGAAGTTAAGCGGTGTTTGTAAAGTCGCAGTGCGTCGGCTTTTAGAGTAACTGCCACTCTACACACACAGACACTCCAGCCAAGAAACTAGCGAGTAACTATGAAGTCTACCGTTATCACTGAGGCAGACTTTCCCACCACTGTTAAAAGTAACACATACTTACACTTGCGCTTAGCAATGCACCATGGCCTTCAGGAAAAGAAGAAAAGCAAAAAAACCTTGTGCTCATAAGCAGTCATCTTATTTTAAAGTTAACTGGGTGTTCCACTTCATACTTGTCTGTATATACCGACTGTCGCGCTGGCTCATTCCCCAAAGTGGGTACGCGCCATGAAGAACCATCATTAAGAACTCAGCTGTATTGGAGCCTCGGCAAGTCGCATGCTGCTTCGACCACAAATATGCTTACTCCACTCTCAATTAGTGTCTTGTCCATTTCAAGCAGTTGCCCTATCGTAGATTTATCAGCATCCCCAGATCTGATTTTCATTTTAGGCTCTGCTCCCAATTACCTAATCTCATTATTAAAAAAAAAAAAAGACGCTGACAATAATGCATATGTTTTTCTTATATATATAAGTTTCGTCAAGCACCAGAATTTCCAACATACCTTAATAACACATCAATTCTATAAACTAGCCTATTAAGTTTTATAACGATTTATAAGCCACTCAATTCTTGCCCACTCCCCATAGTGAGTGTGAGCTGTTGTTTATAGGTGAACAGCAGTGACAATTATGGACTACTATTTGTGTAGGGTGATTAGTACCAGGGAGGAATCACAGCCAACAAGTGCACAGTAATTTAGTTTCACATGTTTCACATGATTCAAATGTTGACTATTCTTGGGTCAAGCGACTGAACTTGCACCTGTTAACTTGCAAACCCTTCATGGATCTCTTCATCTATATTCCACTCCAATACTGAGATATCTGTAAGCTCTGGTGAATGCATGCAAAATCGCAATAACTGGAGCATAACTGTTTGTACCATGAAAAAAACCTGTCACGCAATCAACTTAGTTCAAATACTGAAACCTAATTTGTACTGCTGATGAATAGTTCTGAGCATCCCATAGCCTGCCAAATGAATAGATATCTCAGTCACAAGAGAAATGAATTTTTAACATGTTTTTAAAAGAGAATTCCTAAAATTAGCACATTATTATTTTGGTCATGTGAACTACCGATTCCTTGGAGCAAAAATTGATGGTAGCTGAAATGAACAGTGAGAGAGAGCAAGGTTACCGGTGCGCAACGAAGTTGGAATGTATCCTGCAGGCCCCGGGCAAATCGCTAGGCAAGCCTTGAGAAATTGTATTAAGTAGAGCTCATGGGCATCCATGCTGTTGTAGTATCACCACGGGCTTGGGTGGCATCTTGCAAGTGCCCACTTAATGGAATGTCCTGTTTCAGCATGCACTCATTGGATGGAGACTGAAGCCAGAGTTCACTATTGGTGCTCACCTGCCCACTCTCAGTATTTAGCCAATAAAAGTATGCTGAATTGGACAGTCCCTGTTCATGGATACTTGCAAAATACCATGTGCGTAGTTGTCACATAATGCTGTGCTCAGAAAATGTGCCAAATATTCCCACCTAAGTTTAGATTCGGTTATAGAACATGCAACTGTTTTACTTCGTGTACAAGTCTAAAGAGAATGCACTTTCGGGCTGCAGTCATTTAGTGCTATGTGGCTTACAGCAGTGCACGAGCTTTTGCCTGTGCACCACCAGTGGCGCTAGAAGATAGGAAACGCCAGAGACTAATGGCTTTATTCTCAGCACCCTCAATTGTTTTGCTGTGTGACTGTACTGCAACCTTATTTTCTGTGATGGATTCTCCTTAGTGGGTATGAACCATAGGTGGAGCTAAAAAGAACTTCGTAAACCCACGTCTCTCAATAATCTGGATCATATTCTGCTTGTTTCATTATTTCGGTCTTATGACAGTCTTTCTATACCAATAACACTGCTAAAAGCTTGTCTTGTTGTGAGTGAAGTTCAGCTTTGTAGACATGTATTGCCACGATTTTCGGCTTTGCATGCGGTGTTTTGGGGAATTGTACCCGAGAAGGCCCAATTTCTATTTAGTTAAAAGCATGTTCATTGATTGCCAGTATGTATGTGATGTGATGACAATTCCATTGTTTTGAAACCCTTTATCTATATTTTGAAAGAATCCTTAAACAGGGGTTTTTTCAAGCCGACATTTCAACTAGCGGACTTGTCTTCCTCAAGGCTAGAGCAGAACTGATTTATTTAGCGCTACCGGGTCTACCCTTTCCTTCATCCTAACAAGGGAGTGGGCAACATTGGATATGCATGTGTGAGAAAGTGGGGGGGGGGGGGGGGGGAGGTGCTGTAATGAATTGTATGAGTGAAGAAAGAGCAGGTGTTCCATGAATAAAAAGAAAATTAGGAAGTGGTGGGGAGGTGAGGATGTAAACATGTGGCTAAATCCCGGTTGTCGAAGTTAAAAATGGTGGGTTTGAAATTCTTAGATAGAGTGCTTAACTCGCATTGCTTTTGTTTGTGCATGTACCATACTAAATGGATTCAAGAGCCCCTTTAAAAAAGTTTCTACCTACTGGCTGGAGTGCTATTGAACTTGTGAATATGGTAAGACTCTGTATATTCTCCGTCTCTTGCGGATTGGAAGTTTGACTAAAGTACATAGAGTTTGTGGAGATGATCTCAAACTATTAGGTATGACCGTTTCTAAAGGGGCTCTTGCAATCCATTTGGTATGGTACATACCCAAAGAAAATCAATGCGACTTAAGCCCCTCATCTAAGAATCTCAAACCACAACCGGGATTCAGAGATACTTGTACATCCTCACCTCCCAACAGTTTCCTTATTTTCTTTTTATCAGGAACCACCTGCCCCTTTTCACTCATACAATTAGAGCACCCCCCCCCCCCCCCTACTCTTTCCTCTCACACCTGCACAACCAACTGTTGTCCCCTCCCCCTTCTTTGTTAGGATGTTCTGTTCTAGCCTTGAGGAAGAGAAGTTTGCTTGTTAATACATCAGCTCGGCACAACCCCTGTTTACTGATTTTTTTCATCGTAAGTGTCCATCTTCCTCTCTTTCTACCATTTTTTGGATTCTTTATGTTTTATATTATCTCACTTGAAGGAATATCGAACTAGAATAGAAAAAAGAAAAAGATGAAAAGACATTGAACTTCTACCCTGAAGATGCCACTGACCCAATGAACAGTTTATTTCACATCTTCTTGAGCAGCTGGTGGTGTTTTTGAAAGATTGTCAGCGCCCAAGCTGTGACCTCATTGCAGGCACATGCAGGGTGCGCATTTTCCTGTCCTGCTACTTTTCCTCTCTTCTCCTTTGTGTCTCATTTTCCCGCTTTCACAAAGGTGCTAACAAGTGCCCACACTCGAGGGACTTTACCTTACCCCCGAGCATTGTTCTCTGCTTTTAGTGACATTAAAATGCACCTCCTCTAGCTAACGGCACGTTTGTGAAAAATATGTGGAATTGCTCTTTTCCACTAGTTTTTGTCTGAATGTATGTTGTTTCTACGTATTTTAACACCCAGTATTTTAGTATGGCTGAAAATCTAGGCGGCAAAAGTTTTTGTCCAGTATTTATTTAAGAATGAGTTGAGGCATGTTACTCTTTCCTGTATTTTTTTTGCCTGCGTAATTTTTTTCTACTTTCTCTTTTTGGCAAACTGGTCTCATGGTGTTGGTGAATCAGATTATGCATACCAGCTGTAATCTGCTTATCATTTGCTAGTAGTATGTAGATTTATTTCGCAAGTTTTCGATTTCTTGAGTGAGAAGCAAGTGCCACCATCACTGCCTTTGCCTTAATTGTGTATAACCACTGGTGTATTCGAAGCAGAACTGACATTTGGGCAAGTTCGCTAGGATTTTTTTTTCTTTTTTCCGATAGCATAGAATGTGGTGCTTGTTAGAATGGCATCGGGAAACAATAATATAGCTGATATTGACAAGGACATAACCAGGGCACATGAGCACACAGCACAATGTTGACTATAATTGGATTTTTATGGTGCAAAGGCCAGGTTAGGCCTAAGAGTGTCATCCCATCTGATGTGTTGGTAGTGAGCAGAGGTTAACGTGGTAGTATCTAACATGATTGTGAAGTGGCCAAAAAACACACTGTATGTCGGTATAAGATGTATATACTATAAAACAATGATGGTGAGACGTGCAGTGAACACAGTGCTACGTATATGCATTACTTCTGTGCCTGTGTTGATGTGTCTCTCTTGTGTCATCACGTGTATGTGGTGCATTAGTATTGAAAGATGCATGGAAGATCTCGCACAGTTCATAGAACATGAGTTTTTCTTTCAGAGACAACCGCCAGGAACGTTATGGTCGTGGTGGGGGTGACAGAGATAACAGCTGGAACAGAGGAGGCAGGCAGTGGGAGGATCGACGCAGAGGATATCAACATTACGGCGGCGGTTATCGTGGCTACCGAGACCGTGAAGACCACCGGCATGGTCCTCGTGACTACAACTCATACCAGCAAAGGCCGAGAAAAGACTACTGATCTCATAGTGTGGTTGTGAAATGAATGTTTTTGGAAATCTCATACAATAAACATTTGCTTCAAAAGTTTCAGGCACTGCACAATTGTATGCCTGCAAGATTGTTTTTGTTGCGGTATTGTTCACTGGACATTACCTACTCACTAGCTTGATTTCCAGCTAGATATCATATTTCACTCTTGAATAGAGTCCTGTAAAGTTAAACTTCAGTACAACAACAACAAAATAAGGAATTTTCATATAGCAAAAAGTAAACCTTTTCTCACCAATACGAGCATATAACAAATGAATGATTGCAACGGGATGACACCTTATATTTCTCATCAAATGCTACTTCTTAATATTATTTGACTATAAGTCACCATTATTTTCTTTGTACTAGTTGCTGAAATGCAGTTCTTATTGATAAATGCAAAGTTTGCATATTGTGTTCCTTTACACAGCTGGACATATTGTCTTCATGCAAACAAGGAAATGTGTTCCTGACGACAGTCTAGTAAAAAAATGGAAAGGAAAACTTAAATATACCGCCGAGTGGCATGTGCAGAATACAAGGCAGTAAATGTTGTGTGTTTCAATGTTAAGAGTGTCATGGCCAGTTCCAAGTTCCGAAAAGTAGCGTGCGAATGGAAAGAATGTTAAAATTTTGTAGGAAGCTTCTGAACGAATTTGTAACAAGCTTTAATTGACGTGGGTTTTGCAATAGCCTACAAGCCGCAAAAATTATGATATGATTTAGTCTCAAGAGCAGCTGTGACTGAACAAATAAAGCGACCTTTGTTTCATTTTAGGACTACTTTTGTTAACGCTGGAGGCTTGACAAATAAGTAAAATTACTATTAATATAGTGAAGGTTCGTTGCAGCACCTCCCTTTTCCTACTACGTGAAAATCGGTGGATTTGACCAGAAGTCGCACGCGCCCCTTGCCTTGAAAGGGTGTCAACTAGGGGCGCGTCAACAGATGCCAGTTGTGTCAGAGCTGGAGTTTTGCTAGAGTAGTGTCACTTGCCCAGCATGCCCTCTCATGCAAGAAGAGAGACGCGCACATCGCATTCCATTCTCACCCTACCATTTGCTCCAGAGAGAGCGTAGCTACTACGGCCGGATGGATGGAAAAGCTCGAGCATAAAGACCAAGAGATCACACGCGAATCTGCCGGGTCACGGGCATGTCTAGTACTAATCCTCAAGAGAGCACACCAGCTTATCATTTATAAACATCGCACAGCACAATATAAATTGGGCAGTCGTTAGGTCAGGTCAGGTTAGGCTCCAAAATTATTTTAAGGAAAGTATGCACCTAATTTCAAAATTAGCATTCTACATGCTACGATTTTGCTAAGAGGCACAATTTAGTGATGGAGAGGGAGTGCTGAAACGTAGCGTTGTGATCCCGTGTGATCTGTTCATGCAACGTGATACTATATAGGCTCCTAAGAAACAAAAACAAAGCTTCTTGGCAGAAAAAGTTGTGTGAAGTAAATAATTTAGGTTACTCTCAGGTTATTATAATGAGAACTAACACCCAATTATCTGTTCACTTTCATTAATACTGTGTCTAACAATAGGACGAGCCCTTGAATTACCCTTTTTTTTTCTCAGGTTAGATGTAACTATCGTGTGGTTTCAAGATCAAGTACGTTTCAACGGAAAATAAATGTGCAAAAGTAATGTATTGGTACTCATTTCAAAATGATGCCTGGGGTTCTCTTAGTATGGGTCTGAAAAGAGTACAATTAAAAATATTTAATGTGAAAACTACTCATGGAATTTAACTCTACTTCAGAACCTTCTCATTCAGTTTCCTCTGCAACTTGGAGAGCTCTCGTACAGCACCCGTGTCTCCATCTTGTTCGAGATATGTTATCAAAGTGTGAAGGCTCCTCCAAGCATCAATGTGGTTTGGTTCCAGAATTGAGGCAAATGACTCTTGTTGTTCATGGGAAACTGTTAACAGGCTCCCATCCTCGTCATCACAATCATCAACACTTATATACGCTGCAGCACCAGCCGTACGAGGGTAAACCTTGTCCAAAAGTTCCTGCAGTTCCTGAACTAAGCACTGGTATGCATTATTAGGTGGTCTTTCTGGTTGCTGCAATGGTAGAAAGCCTGTTTGACCCCAGAAATCTGTGATAACTTGAGATGGAAGAGACATCCAGGCCTGTGAGAGTGTTCGAAGAGCCCAGCGAACACTGATTTCTGTCTTCAGTTCAGCATCCTTACACATAGCACTGTGCAGCAGAAGGTCTTTCCGGTATATTGCTTTCACACTGTGAGTTACAGGTGTGCTCCTAGCATTAATACCAGAGACACACTGTGAAGGCAAAGTGTGCACTTGTAAGTTACAAAAGTTCACATCACTGAAGACCTCAGTCCTTGATTCGTCTAGCAACATGATGGCACGTCGTTTCTCCCTGCACAAATTTGCATCCAAACTTTTCAGTTGAGAGATGAGAATGCTTGCAGACAAGCGCATTCTTGGTTCGCAGTTGTAGTGACAATATATGTTTGGGTCAAAAAGGGTTCCAAAACTGTGGGGCCGCTTTGTGCCGCCGACAATAATGGGTCTCCAGCGATGCGAACCTGATAGATTGTACAGCAGTCCAACTACAAGCCTCTGTTTGTTGCAACGCTGTTTCTCCCGTGAACTTCCTTTTGCTGGTAATGCAGCGTAGGAGAGGACCATTTCTTGTACGTGGTAGATGTTGTTCAGGGTGTAGTCTGCAAGAAGTGTCTGTAACTGAGAGTGGCTCGTGCTGCAAGGCAGCTCTTTGGATGCATTTTTGGAGCTAGGTGGCTTAGGTGAGCTGCTTCCCTGCGGTCTGTTATTACAGATCCCATGCCTTGTCTTGAAACGATGCAGCCAGCCTCGTGAATAGCGAAAGTCATCAGGCATTTCTGCAACATAAACAGGCAAATTTGTTTTCAATGCATGTAATATGCACACTGGGTAACCCACTTCACAAGTAGCACAATTTCCACCTAAGAAATGCAGGATAACAGTTACTTACGAGAAGCAATAGCAATGACAGAAAATATGACCTCAAACACAATGAGACAATGGTTAAAAGCGTACCGTCAAACGAACATCTGAGACAAAAACTGTGTACCAGTCAATGCTTGAGTGTCAGGTCATACAATCTGTGTGGTTAGCAACCTTGGAACATTTAGGCTTTGGCATCTTTTCATAATAAACATCTTCTAAGATTCAATGAATATATGAAGCGTAAACGAATAGAATTTTCACCTCTGTGGCCTTACATAAAAGAGCTGCATTGCATGCTCACAGGTTGTAGCAGTTGTTCATGAACTGTCCTATTTTTTCATATCAGGCCTGTTCTGACGAAATCTCTAAGCAGCGGGTGCACATGTTCAGACAGCTCTGGCTTGGCACGGTTGATAAAAAGATATTTATCCTTGGCTTAGTTCCTCGCGCCCGCGAATTGAATTGCCTATTTTTACAAACGCTTCAAAGAAATGAGCTGACCGTCCTATTGACAGGTGTGTGGTATGTTTAATGGCAAGCTTGTTGTCATCTGCTACCTGCACCACAGTGTTGGCATGCTTCTCCGTATTCGCAAGTTGCTTCAAGCAAGGGACAACTTTGCCACTGGGAAAAAATGGATCCGACGAAACTCACTGAGCAGCTTTCCAAGAGCGCGGGCCTTTTCAGCGATCATCGCATCGCTTACGTAAACCCCGCGGGAGCGCGCCTCCTGCAGCCACGTGAAAAGGGATTTTTCCATATCAACCCCAAGCAAATTTTTCGAGTTGACGGCGTCTGGCGTCGTGCTGATCCACTTGTCGCTCTCCTGCAAAATGCGGGACACAGAACTCTTGCCGATGTCCACACCGAGGTTAATGCGGCACCAAAGCATGACGTCGCGCAGAGTAGAGCGCGGGTGATCACGTTTCCACAGGCAGAGTTCGCGTTTTTCTCCCGCCGTAAGCGTGGTACGCTTGCGCTTTTGATCGGGGCTTCGCTCGCTTGAGCACCGTTCATCATCTTCAGAACACGCTTCGAAAGTATCATCGCACGCTCTATTCATAGTGAAGCTGACTTGGACGAAAACCAACGCTCTGGGGTGAACAGTTTCTCAAGGATAACCTTTTTTTTTGTTTTCTGCAATAAGAGAGATAGGCAAAGTTTAAACCATGGTTTAAACAGCAAGTTCCTCCTGTGCCGCAAACTACGCCAACTCAAAAACGAAAACAGTCAGAGATTATTCTTGGACTGGCTTTAAAATGACCGAAATCTCCATAACAGCTTACCATAAAATATACTAAACGTGCAGTAAGTGCGCAAATTATTATAAATATTTTAAGTAATTTGTCATGTTTTATGTAAAGCAGTTTTACAAAGAGTTCTGTTTTTTTGAACAACATTAGTTTACCGCAATGCCAGCGCTTTTAGAACCCCTAGGGGCCACTATAGTAAAACAGACGTACAGACAAGTCAAATGTCAAAGGAGGATGCCGATTTTGTAGATTTTTATCATTTCTGTTTCGGGCTTTGACGAACTCGCGCTTGTTTCTAGTCATTTGAACTATCGGCATTTATATTTTGTACATACACAAACTTCAACCATGTGTGGGGGATTCACGTGTTCCAAGAATGCTCTTACAGCGCTCAACATTATGTACATCGTAAGTACGGACTTCTCAATCCGCGAGTCGTGACACATGTTACGAACTCCCAAGTGACGAGGTGCGGCTTCCATTCGCGAGGTGCTTGAATGCGTCTGGTCGCTGTGCGTCCACTTAGTCAGGCTTGGCCTCTCGTAATTTGCTTACAGATGCGGTTATAAACGGCAAGGATATTGGATCGTGACTCAAGCGTCTTAATTCATTCTACCTTTCTCCACTGTCGGAAACACGAAGACAAATTGTGGCGTCTCTATGGTGCTATCAGTTGTTTTGACGTTTATGGATTTCAGAAGCTGCGGAGGTCTTTATCTTTCTTCCTGCGGGTGATCTTTAGTCCTTGCAAAAGATCACCCTCGCTCTTTCTACTCTCATAGGGTTTCTCTCCGCAGAACGTAGCTGTCAGAAATTGCTGCAGGCGTATGGTACCGCCTGTGATTACGCTGTAGATGTGGAAGTGAACGTCAGTTATGAGCCAGATATGATTCGTTCCTTCTGATCAGTGTTACTTTTCATAACTACCTCTGTTGAAAACAGTATTCACGATCACCTCTTGTAACTCGAACAAGGGCATCTGGCGCTCATGATCTAAGCTGCAGTTACATAACACTTTTTTTTTACGCGACCAGTAATCGGAAGTGCCACCAAGCAATATGACGCGAATCTTATGCATTGTTTTTTTTATCAGTGGAATATACGTTATAGTGAAAGTTATCCAGCACGCTTTACAAACGATTAGACTACAATGGCCTACAGTGCTGGTCTAAAGAACAAAAAAATGTCTCACTGTGAATAAATTACGTGCTTTTTGACTGTGGGCAAAGACTTGTACTGAGGACGAAAGAAAAGTGAACCAGACTATGGAAGCTCAAAGAAGCCAAACAAACAGCAGAAACTGAGAGTCTGTCCAACGGTATGTTAAAAAGTAATATTGAACTGTGGTCATTATTTTAATTCATTGTGTCATGTGATTTCTCATTACTATCTTCTTTTTAGTTATGTAATGTTGCTTTAGAGCATGCTTATGAAGCATTATTTTAAGAATATATGAATTCTTTATCACTATACAGAATAAAAAGTTCCAGTTGTATACGTGATATTCTCCAATATGGGTGAAGTCGGGATTTTACTAGAGAGGTGTGGGGGAAGTGCTGTCAAACCTTATGTGTATGTATGTAATAATCTGAGAAACATTGCATGGAGGGTTGAATCACCCTTGTCTACACCAATGTTCTACAGTTTAAAGCGTGTGGTCTGCTGATGGCATAAAGAAAAAACTGCACTTTTTTCATGCGAGAATATAACTGAACTGCCCAAAATTATTTTCTGGCTGTAGGGTGAATTTTCGCTTACATGTGAACTAAAACCAAAGCCTACCTTGCCTTATACTTGAGTAGAGTGACAACTGGTAAGGGGAAAAAAAAAGGGCCTAATGTCAAAGCCTGATGGAAATCATTTTTTTTTTTTTGCCCAATGAGTGTCATTTGAAAAGGGGCAGTCAAACATAGAGGGATATGCTTGAAAGTTCTTACTCACACATATGTTCTCGTACAAGTAGTTTGTTGCTTACAGAGGACTCCCGTTTTTCCTCTTTTGCAGATTGTCTCTTTCATTCTCATTGGCGTGGCCGCATATGGCCGCGTGTCGAGCATCGTGACCAACATCACCATATTTGGTGCGGTGATAGCCTGTGGCGTGTTCCTGCTGCTTCTCTCCCTCGTCGGTCTCATTGGAGCTGTCAAGCACCACCAAGTGCTGCTCTTCTTTGTATCCTTTAGAGTGGCAAAAGCCATCTTTTCACTGAGGCATGACCGTAACCTTTCGAGAGATTTTTGCTCACAATTTTCAGAGGACTTAGTAGCGTGTTTAGCTCTAGCTTGAACTTCTTTCTCTTTGGCAGCTTGTAAATAACACATTACTGAATTCTGCCATGTAGCACACAGCATTGTGGTGTCCCTATTTTGGTTACAAGCACCACTAAGTAGGCACTCAATTTTGTATATATTGACAATGCATATTTAAATTTCTTGGATGGTGCCCTTTTGTAAATGCATAGCTAATTCTTGTTTATTGAGAAGTGGGCCGAGCTGTTTTCATTCACTCATATTGTGGTGATAGCGCCTATGCACGTCAAATGTTCGCGGTATCTGGCGCTGTTGTCCACAATTGTAAAGAGTAGTTTGTATGTGACGTCATTGGTCACACGAGTGTTTGCTACATATGTATGCTGGTTGCATGGAATAAAGGTTGATGTCATCTCGCTCACATTGGAAGCGGCTCAGTCCCTTTCTCTGCTCCTACGGCCGGTACGGATGTGCATGGCCTTTCGCTAGGCCGCAACGCAACACATTTGTTGTGTGTTTCACCTACACGGTGTTCTAGTTGTTACAGTGCTAGACTCGAAGGATGGAGGATCGTGTCGTGGCCTCAGTGGCCACATATCAATGGAGACAAAATGCTTGAGGCCTGTGTACTTGGATTCATGTGTTTGTTAAAGAGCACCAGATGGTCGAAATCTCGAGAGCCCTCCACTTTGGTGCACCTTATAACCATCGAGTGGCACGTAAAACTCCAGATACTGTGATTATGGTGAACAGTGCACAAGGAAGCTTTGAATACTGAGCATTGTAAGTATTGATGGTTAGAATCACTTTTGAGAAAAATACGAGCAGGCAAATGCTGATAACAAAAAAAATTATAAACAATAAATGTAGATAGCTTTTATAGTTTCAATTTACTTTCAAGCACTAACACACCTATTATGTCTCAAAGAGCACAGTGGAAAGTGCCACGTTCTGGACCTCCCACGTCCTGTGGGTCTCCTTTAATTTTGCAGTAAACGAATTTCAAATGCTTTTTATGCAAAACGTACTTGCAAACAGATCATAAGCTAGAAACTAAAAAAAGCAAGCCTGTCTTTTTCTTTATTGTTGCAATGTAGACCGAGAGAAGCAGTGATAACATGTGCTACAGTGAAGCAAGTGCTCCATCCGTTTATCGTATTCAGCAAAAATGTCCTTACGTTTCACCTTTACACACCAGCAGTCTCACTCTCTGCACTGTTGTAGACAAAAGTGAATTGGTGCCCACACGTTCGGGACATATGCTGTCTGAGGAAGATTTTGGAGGGCCATACCATATAACAAACTGTATTTTTAACAAGCGTAGTTATCAGTGCAGGAATTTGACTATGCTTGGGTACAACTTTAGAAGGCAGTGGAATTTCCTCCTCGAAAGCCTGCACCAATGTGCGTGCTATGCTTGGGAATTACATCCTAAGTTGCACAATCAGTAGCCGCACCATCTGAAAACATCGCAGAGTGTATGTCGAAGACCATATTTCTTCAGTTGCTTCAGCAGCAGGCAGTTGCATTTCAGCCATCAGGGTGGGCCTTGTCCAACCTTAAGTTGTCTCAAACTATAGCCCTGCACTCATTTGGAATCACTTTTGGAAAACTTGAGCACTGTGGTAATATGTTTCTATGAATTCCTGAGCAGTTTAGTTCAGTAAAGACTTACTGAAATAATGAAACTGCTTGGAAACCTAGAGCATAATTACTAAAGTTCAGAGCTTCCCATAATCCCGCCACGGTGGTCTAGTGGCTAAGGTACTCGGCTGCTGACCCGCAGGTCGCGGGATAAAATCCCGGCTGTGGCGGCTGCATTTCCAACGGAGGCGGAAATGTTGTAGAGCCGTGTACTCGGATTTGGGTGCACGTTAAAGAACCCCAGGTGGTCGAAATTTCCGGAGCCCTCCGCTACGGCGTCTCTCATAATCATATAGTAGTTTTGGGACGTTAAACTCCACAAATTAGTCAGAGCTTCCCATATATGTTACCTGGCAGGTATGCCTTGGATATCAAAATCTAGCTGATAAGTGCTTTTCTTTTAAGGAACACAATATTAATGAGAACTAACGAGAACCATGGAAAGGAAATGTATTGTTGTTTGTTAGTTATCATTTATGTTGTGTCTGACAAAAAGAAAGATCAGCTCTTAAAATTTCTCTTCTTTCTTTCTTTTGAGGGTTGTAGCTTTAGTGCCGATTCACTTGCAGTACTACTGCGCTGACACACTCAGAGCTGGCACTCGCATGCCGTCCCCCATTTCGAGTGGAACGTCCAGCTGGCTGCTTCCTTTCCTTAATGCCTCCTACCAGTACATGGTGATCCTGTTCCTGCTTTTTGTGGTACAGTTCAGTGTGGCCTGTGCCTGTCTGGCCATGACAGAGGACCAGGAACGAGAGCTGGCCAGCCAGGGCTGGAAGAAGGCCTCCCCTGCAGTCAGGGCCCAGGCAGAGCGCATATTCCGATGCTGTGGCTTTGAACGCAATGCCTCCGACCCCACGGCAGAGCTACAGTGCGAGCACGTGCCAACGTGCTGCCCACCGCAGGAGGTCAGTTGCCTTCTACCATCTTTTCTCTTAAAGGGCATCTAAGTAAAACAGTAAATCGAGTCACCTTGATAAGTTGCACTCGGAAAATATTAATTTCACCATAGGTTTAATAATAAAGGAGAAAATTAAGGCCAAGGTATAATTTTTACATTCAACCCAAAATCTTCATGCATGACCTCTCAGATTTCAAAAGCATATCTTTTGTATTCTGGTGGCATTGGTCCAACACTACTTTTTTTTTAAACTTGGTATGTCAAGTTTCCGGCCCCCTCCGAGGACAATGTGCTTCATTTTTTACCGATTAGAGGCTGTGTACCGCTGAATTTCGAGCAAGTTATCCTCCTTACTTTAAGATATTCGCAATATGAGCCAATGACAGAGCATGTGCCTCCCACCATTTTCTCTGTTTTATTTACTATTTTGGAAACACTGAACACTTGCATACTCAATAAAGCATTTCATTGGAACCAGAGTGTGTGTTTTTCATTCTTAATGGCTTTTCTTCCGCCATCGTGAATTTTGCTGCATGACCTAGCAAGGGCAGCTCCTCCAAAACTTGTCGGATTATCTTTCACTGTATAGGGGGGAAGCTTGCTCAAGATTTTATGGTAGGCCCTAATCAGTTGCACCAACACACTGTACTAACATGTACAAACACACCCAATGCTGCAGTCCCCGTAGTGGATACCGTCGAAATCTGCAATGTCACGGCGATGCAATGTTAATCTGCAATGTTATGGCATGTATTTTCTTTTTGTGCGTTTTCTCACTTTCCAAGCGTCTTCTTGCGGAAAGCATGGTGAATTTGGTATTGTGAAAGAGTAATTTGCTTCTAAGAGAAAAATCTTTTCTTCTTTAGTGTCTCTTGAAACGATACTAATAAATGCTTTGTCGTATTAAGCGCCTTGTGTACTGTGGTGAAGCCATTGTATTGTATACTTCCCTGTCAAGGAAAGCCTGTTTGATGGCTGTTGTCTAACTGATGGCTTTACATTTGACCCTAATTTTCTCTTTGAGCAGAAATAACAACCTGCATTAAATAGTTAGAATGTTGTATACTCTAAAATACCAAATACCTGCTTTTCTGGTATTCTCATTGGTGTTGAATACTATATTTTACTGCTATAAGTATGCTTCAGAACAGCTCTCCTCCTGCTCCAGAAATCGCTCCATATTTTAAACTGCCTCAACAACTGCTGAGCACAAAGAAGCAACTACTATATTTCGTAATTTCGGTTGTCGTTTGAATGTTTTCAGGCACTTGCAACCAGCTAGTGTCGTGATATTATGCTTTCAGTTTTAATTTCTCCTGGGTTGTCTGCAGATTCCTCCTGATGGCATATGCGAGTGCCAAGGGTGCTGGTCTGCTCTGCATCAAGCTATTCGCAATGGGCTCAAGATCACAGGTGGCATTGGAATGTTCTTCAGCTTCACTGAGGTTGGTTGCATTTCACTACACAATCATACTGTGAAGCCTGCTTGCAGGGGTAGCAGTCGGGGTTCAGTGGTACCTACGCCTGTACAAGAACTCTTCATGCCCAATAAAATGTTTGGTTGCCATAAAATTAAGTACAGTAAAAGCTCGTTAATTCGGATTTCGTGGAACTGGAAAAATGCGAATTAACCAAATGCTGAATTATCAAGGGTATAAAAAAAGTGTGTGACATCAATGCAATTTCCTTTTATTTATTTATGCTTATTTCTTTGAAAATACTGCCAAATGCCAGAGGGATCATAGCAGGAGGGCATACCGTATTTTCGCGCGTATAACCCGCCCCGCATATAATCCGCACCCCCACTTTCAGCTCACCGAGAAGAAAAAAAAAAAAATCCTCGCGTATTGCCCGCACATTTGATATACAGGAAAGGCTGTACAAAAGCTGCTGCTCAAGCAACATGCACATATGTAGACAGAGCTTTATTTAGCAAGCAGAATACGCTGTCTGCAAGGCCAGTCACAATTCACTCACTGTCGCTGCTCTCGCTAGAGCTATCACTTGAGCCACAGTCCTCACTATTATGCACAAGGTCATCTTCGGTTCCATCCATGTTGTTTGTGATGCAGAATTTCTTGAAACTTTCTCGCACCATCTCACCTGGGATGGCCTTCCATGCCTCGACAATCCACTTGCAGAATAGAGCAATATCAGGCCTCCGGACTCGTCCTGTCGGCGTCAAGTCGTAGCAGCCTTCGGCCATCCTCTCAACGTACCGTATAAACGCGTGTAAGGGCCGCACTTTTTTTTCAGGAAGTGAGGGCTAATTTTCAGGTTGCGGCCCATACACGGAACTTTTTTTGTGGTGAACTAAAAACAACGTACCAGTTAGTGAACGAAGAGCGTTTATTGCAGTATGCCGCGTGTGCGCTTAATCGTCGTCACTCGACGAGTCCTCTAACTCGGAGTCGGAGATAGTGTGTTGCGGAGCACCATCATTCCACAAACAGTCATCTTCGGTGCCATCCAGGCTGTTGGATATCCCAGTGACCTTAAAACTTCGGGACACAATGTCCGTCGACACCGAGCTCCACGCCGACAATATCCAACCGAGAACAGTAGCAAGCGGTGCCCTCTTCAGCCGTCCGGTCGGCGTGTGCTCATGGTTGCCGGTTGCCATCCATTCCGTGTAGAGTCTTCGGAATTCAACTTTGAATGGTCGATTCACGCTCACATCCAATGGTTGCAACATTCCTGTGAGGCCGCCTGGAATCACGGCCATGTCTGTGCCGACACGGCGCAGCTGCTCCTTCACCTTATCGGTAAGGTGGCCGCGGAAACTATCCAATACTAAAAGTGAATGTTTGGCCAACAAAGCTCCCGGTCTGTTCTGCTAAACACTTTTCACCCAGTCTAGCACCAAATCATCGTTCATCCATCCCTTCTCTTGGGCTCTAACTATGATGCGCTTGGGGAAAGCTTTGCTGGGAATTCTTTTCCTTTTCAAAACAACGTATGGGGGTAGCTTCCGCCCGTCCGCGGTCACACAAAGCATCACGGTGCAGCGTTGGCGCTCAGCGCCGGTGGTCCGCACGGCGACACTCTTCTTGCCTTTTACTTCGACTGTGTAGTTCTCGGGAGAGTCAAACCACACAGGAGTTTGATCAGCGTTCGCTATTTGCGACAACAAATAACTGTGCTGATGGCGCAGGCCGATGAGATGCTTGTGAGAACTAAGCACGTTGCCGGTATAGTCTTCTGGCAGCCGCTGGCACAGCGTGGTCCTTCGCCGAAAAGAGTCCCTTTCTTTTCATAAACCTTCGCACCCAGCCAGCACTAGCCTTGAAATCCCCGGCCGGTATATTTTTCGCACGTGCCAAGGCTAGTGCCTTCATGCGCAGCATGTCTGTAGTGAGCGCAAAACCATCGTTCCGCACCTCAGTCACATAGCGGAGCAACTCCTCTTCCAAATCGGGATACTTGCACTGTTTTCCTTGGAAAGCGCGCTTTTTGATATTGGTGTTCTGCAAGGCTTTCTTCTGGGCACACCAACGTCGAACACACTTCTTGTCAACATCGAATTTTCTGCCGGCGGCCCGTTTCCCGTGCTCGAGGGCAAACTCGATCACCTTCAACTTATAGCCAGCTGTATAGCTATTCAGCTGCTTGCCCATCGTGCGAAAACGTAAACGTCCCGCAGAAAACTAGCTGGAGTCCCAGAGTCATTCAACGGTGCGCAAAACTCGAGCACATGGCAGGCTGAACAGCACAATGACCAAACAACGCACAAATACCAAAGTTAGTGATGCTAATGCCGATATGGATAGCGCGTTTGTATAGAAGTGTCAGAAGTTAAATATAAAATCCTGCTTTAACCTTTAGTTGGCGGGTGTATGTACACTACTGAAAAAATTAAAAATTTTTAGCCAACTTCATTAACATATTAGCATGAAGAAAACCAACAAATTATTCTAATGATGTACTATATGGTGATGATGAGAATTGCGTTCCCTAACGCCATCTACTGACAACGCCTAGTAGCTCACACACGCGCGCATTTTGAATACGCATGGGTCAAGGAAAGTGCGGATGCGGCCTTTGCACACAACTTTTTTTTTTTTTGAATATGTGCTTCTTAAAAACGGGATGCGGCCCTTACACGGGTGCGGCCCTTACACGCGTGTATACGGTAATAGTGCTTGACATGCTCATTGAAGGGCTTGTTAAGCGACACATCTAGAGGCTGCAACATTGACGTCATTCCACCGGGTATAACAACTAAGTCGATGCCGTTGCGTGAAAGGCAGTCCTTCACTTCCTTAGTTGTGTGGCCGCGGAACGAGTCAAGAACGAGCATGGACCTCTTTGCGAGCATCGCACGAGCCTCTTCTTCCATACCGTCTTGATCCAGTCTACGAACAAGTCACTGTTCATCCACGCGTTCTCGTGTGCATGCACCACCAAACCGGCAGTCAAATGAACCTTTAGAGAGTTTTCCTTTTCAAGATGACGTGTGGTCGCAGTTGCGTGCCGTCGGCGAAGGCACAAAGAAAGACTGTGATGCGCAGTTTTGTGTTCCCGCCGGTCAGCACGCTCACCGAACTGCTGCCCGTCTTCTCAATCGTTGTGTCCAACGGCATTTCAAAATAAACAGGAGTTTCATCCGCATCGCCGATTTGCGCGAAAATGTAATTGTGCTGCTTTCGCAGGCCAATTACATATCTCTGGTACTTGAGCAGCTTCTCCTCATAAAAAGCCGGCAAGCATTGATATATTGTAGTCCGCCGTCTGATTCGTCGTATTAAGCGCCTTGTGTACCGCTTCATAAAGCGGTGCGAGCCGCGGATGGCTGCACCGCTTCATAAAGCGGTGCAGCTATCTGCGGCTCGCATGGAACTCGTGAGGTAGGCCTAGCTCCCTCGAAAGCCACCGCCCTTCCACTTGGGCCATCTCGGTCGATACGGCGTGACCCCTGCTTCTCGCATCTTCGATGAACTTTACTAGCTCCGCCTCCATCTCAGGGTAAGCACCGGTCTTGGGGCCATGAAATGACCTACGGTCGCGGTGCGTGGCTTGTAGGCTCTCTTTCTTCTTTCTCCACAGTCGCACACAGGACTCGTCCACATCGTGTCGTCTTCCCGCTACACGATTTCCGAATTCCTCGGCGACGGCGATGATCTTAAGATTTTGCTGTGCCGTGAAGGCCTGCCGCCGTACGCTACTCATGGTGACAGAACAGATCGACTTAGGCTTGGCGAACAGGTCGAGATGTGGAGAACTAACGGCATCAGCGAGGTAAAGAGCACTTACACTCGGCGACAACGTGACAGCACTACCCCTTCTAGTACACTGTAACAGCACCCTGGAAACAACAGAAACGAAATGCATGCTTGCTACCGCATCAAAAAGTAGTACATTAATTTACTGATAATATCTCTATAGGCACTATAATATCTCATTTGCCTTGCTGAAATAAATACTGCTTTATTTTTTATGGAACCTACTTTATTTATTATGGAACTTTCTTAGACAGCACTACCTTTTCGGCAAGCCCTTTCTAAAAGTAAACATGGCGTCTGTGACGTAGGGACATGTGGAAAGTCACTGAGTGGCCGCGAACGTCCAAAAAATATACTTGTGGTGTGACAGCGAGATTTTACACTGAACAATCGAATTGTCTCTCCCCAAATGTTTTTCTAAACGCTTCAACGATGCAAGCAAGCGAAACCAATATCGGCCGCAAGCTGCCGTGCTACTTGCGGAGCAACACGAATTTGCGGTAACCGCCTCCGTAGCCTTCGCTACACTGTTAAGGGGCTTCACAGCACAACACGTATTGCTGTGAAGCAGCACTATAGGAAAAACCCCGCGTATTATTCGCACCTCCACTTTGCCACTGAAATTTTTGGGTTTTTGGTGCAGGTTGAAAACACGGTATACAGTAATTCAATACAAAGTTGACAAATTGTGATACAATGGCAACAGTAAGTAATTACAAAAAAGTGCAATGAGATTGGTAGCACGTGAATAGGGGAAGAAAAAAAAAAACATTCTCAATAAGTCAAATGTCAACAAAAGGCAAAAAGGAGAAAAAGAATGAGAAAACAACTGTCTAGCAGAATTCGTAGTTCTCTTTAAGTGCATTTAAAAACTGTGTTAGTGATGTGCTTTCTCTAATGTGTAAGAGGAGGTTACAGTTAAACCTAGTTAAACGAGACGGGCTATAACGAAATAATGGATATAACGAGCAAATCCTAATTCCCCTTGAAAGTCCCCATACAAACCAATGTATTCAAAACCTCGTTTTAACGAGGCAAAACTTGCCTGTTATGGAATATAACGAACAAATTTTGTTAGGAAGTAAAATTTTGAGCCGATGTCACGACAGGGCGCAACGCGAATTTGAGACGGTGCGCAACACGAGAACTGTATTTAGCAGTTCGAAACTCCCGCCACGCGCCCTCCAGCAACGCGCGCAAAGCAGACAGCACACGCTGTTTCC